ATATATATATATATATATATATATATAATAATGCATTTTGTAAATGTCTTTATTGTCTCAGCAACTGTGAGATTCTTTGATAGAGGTTAAGGTATCACAATTGCTAATGAAATACATATATGTAATTAAATTTTTATCAGTTCTGAGACTCCCTTAATGCTTTGGAACAAAGGGAAACTTTTTATAACCATTAAATAAAAACAAGAGTTACTTGACCAACAATTTATTTCATCAGCAAAATAAATGAGATTGAACAAATTTTAGTGTTTTTCAATGAATGGATAACAGGGGTATTCATTTCACTATTAAGTTAATAAAATATCCAGTAACACTAGCTTACTAGATTAGATGAGTAACAGTATATTTATTAGCATGCACATCTTCATTAAGTATCAGTCCCAAACATTAATTATTATACAGAAAGAGAGAAATAATTTTGTATGAGAATAAGCCTACATTAAGGCTTTCAAAAATTGTTCCTAGTGGTCAGGACTGACATTACAAATCAAACACTTCAAGATATTCAGTAAAAAAATTCAGGTTCTTGGACATTTAAAGATACATAAATAATGGGATTCTTTTTTTAAGTAATAATAAAAATTATTATTATAAAACAAGTCCAAAACATTTGAGTATGATTTAACATCTAGAAGACATTTTTGGCACTTCTCTGCTGTTTCTTGTAGCTCAATATCTTGACTATAAAGGAAAATAAGTCCTAAAAAAATATAAGTGAAACCTAAATAGTTACACAAAACTGTGGCAGTCAGTACATTCATACAATAAAAAAAATAGATAAAATCTCCTTTTATAGCATAATCATTGTTTTGGACATTTCTGTGAACCAATTTAAATCATCCTGAATTCTTATTTATTTGAGACTGGAACCTCTGACAAGGGGCTATATCTGTAAACCCTTTATCTTGAATTAGACTTGGTAGGGAAGGTGAAGAAGGGTGTAATTTGGGTTGGTTAGTAGAGCCACAATAAGTACCAGGAGGATTTTTGTTAGAAGACTGAGAAATTGGATGGTAAAACTTTATAATGTCATGGTATCTTTTGTGTGTGTTTGTGTATATGTATGTATGTGTGCAATGGGAAAACTTGATAATGTCATATTATTATCTTGTGTATATATATATATACATACATACATTTTTTTGGAATAACAATTTATGAAAAATAAGAATCAAGTTTTTAAAGTTATGCCCATACTTTATCAGTACATCAACTAATGTGATAGACTTTAAAACCTCTACCTGTTAAATTCAAAGACATGCTATGTTAATCATAACTTATGCCAGGAATAATTTTGTTTTCAGTTTAATACAAGCTTTTTGAAAAATATTTATTTTCTCACACTGGTAGCATTACAGCGATAAAAATGATGTCATTCGCCATGAATGCATATAGCGTGGTGAAACGCCCAGTGCCTGCATGTTGACTCTTTGTTGTGTTGTACCTATAAAGTTGGTGTTTGTAGGTAAATGCTACCGAGTTTGACTGCTACGTTTACAACTTGGCAGATACTACTAAAATTTACATCATAAAGAGTTCTTAAAAGAAATGAATACACACTTACTATAAATTATAAGCTACGACGTACTAGTTGATAAACTGATGTGCTGCCTGAGCTGATAATTTCGTACAAATCATTTGATAACATGTATAAATTATACACGTAGTTTAGAAACCATCTCTCCCACTGTCTACAACTTGAAGACTTTTCCTGATGGAAACAAATAAGATGACGATGATAGACTATCTCTTATGCTAGTGCTCCCGCCATCAGCTGACTTACCCGGTCAACGCGCGATGAAGACGGATTTGCTGACAAACAATCGGTCCATTGCTTCACCATTTATAAGCGGACATAATGCACGGGATCAGATCCGAACGCCAACACCTTTGGCACTTCTTAGGGAACCTTAAGAGTACATGCTAGGTTTGGTGACAATTGGTTCAGCGGCTAGTAGGCTATAAGCGGACACAGACTTCTGCCAAATAATAATTTAGATACACGAAAATCTAGCTATTTTAAAACTATTATGCATTATTCCGTTTAAGTATTTGCTTTTCAACAACCTATAGCTGTTTTTTTTTTTGTATCAATACCATGCATAGTCTAGTAGTTAGCATGCTCTTATTATGCATCCTAGGATAATTATTGGTTCGCGTCCCTACTGCGGAAACGTACTTGGAAGTTTGGGCTGTAGACGCGTTGTAAGAGTAACTGTCTAATCCCACCATTCGGTATCTAAAAAGTAGCCTATTGAATAGCTGCTTTCTCTCAAGGCTATTAGTCGAAAATTAGAAAAGGCTTTGAAAGATAAATGTTGTGTATCGAAAATTTAAAAAAAACTTCCAAATATGTACAGTACATTGAAAAACAATTTCTAAAACAATAAAAAATAATTCATAGAGGATTGAAATCATTTAAACCTGGTGCAATTTAAGAAGAAGAAAAAATATTTCGATAGAACTATTAATTTTGGCATTTTTCACATTCCTATTATATTATTCCACTTAGAGTTTCAAATCAGAAGTAAGTGAATATAACATTTTAAATCTATCTTTTGTCCGCCACACGTTACTGCTCAGGATGCTCGTTGTTCAGTGCCAAAAAGCATCACCTGGGCTGTACATGAAGCAGACAAAAGTATCTAAAATGTTACTGTATATACAGTATAATAATGTGATAAAAAATCACAGAAGGCGAGGCGTGTTCCAGATTATGGATCTAGGGCCTATCTTTCGCAACACGTTACCGCAGGAAAAAGAGAGAAAAAAAAACAAAACATTTCGCTCCGCACTTTGAGACCATAGATGCGTTGTAAACGTTACTCTGAAGTCTCACTGTTTACTCAGACAAGAGCTGACAGTTGGTCCTGTTGACTAAATATGTACCGTCTGGCCTTATAGATTCAATATTAAAGACGGCTA